GGGCCTTGGCCGCGCCGCCCGCCCCTCGGTGCACAGTTTTGCTTCCAGCGCCCTCCCGGCTTTGTGCAGCCCCCGTCTCTCCTTCCGCCATAGCAGTTCGTGAAGGTTGCGGGCGCGAGGCTGGAGGAAATTTTTCCCAGCGTCTGGCTCCGCGGGAGCAGCTGAAACAGCCAGTTTTTTTTTGGTTTTTTTGGTGGGTTGCTTTTTGGGATATGAACTGGTTGGGGGAGGGCGGGCGTGGAGCCCTGGGGACGTGGTTAGAGGGTGTGGAAGACGTGGTGTCACACACCCGCCTGGCGATGTCACCCGGAGTAGGCTTGGGCCCCGTGGTAAAGCCGGGGGAGGAGGGTGGCTTCCTCTCCCCTTCATTGTCCTGAAATGCAAGCGTTGGGTTTGTTAGGTTTCCTCCGTTCTAAGCAAGAGGGAGGGGGGAAAACACCCCCCAAAAAGGGCTAACACAGAGCGTGAAGAAGGGTGCACCATGTGTATAGTATCTGTTGTTGGTGTTTAACAGAGTTTTATTTTATATATTTGAAGAATATAAGGTCCTGAAAAGCAAGGACTATGCCCGTAGGAGTTAAAGCGCTGTCAAGGTGATCAATATGAAATTACTAAATGGAGAGTGGGCTTAAGAAGGAACTGACAATGAAGCTGTTGTGTAGCAGGGAAATGAACCAACAGAATTTTTTTTTCCCATTGGGCGGGTAGTGCATTCATCTTCCCGAGGGAATAGCTTAGGAAACATCTTTCCGTTGTATTTTTTAGGCAATCAAAACAAAAAAGCAGAAATAGGCCTGGAATATTACTATTCTGAACTTTTGTCTGTTAATAATTTTTGTGCTATAAAAGGAAATTCACCCATTTGGGAGGAATTTTAAAAATAATTTGATCCTTAAACTTACAACATTTCTACTTTTGAAAGTAAGAGGAGAGAATTAAACAGGATGTGTAGGAGCAAGTGGGAGGAAAATAGTAAGATTGTAGGAATTAAATTTCGAACAAAGTATCTAGGTTTCACTAGTTGAGTATCCTTCTCAGACTTAGGAATTCTGTTCTGGAAACAATTAAACTGATGGATAGCACATTCCAACCATTTTGTATTTTTCTGACCATGATTTTATAATCAACAGGGCAGCTGTTAGTTCTTCCAATATTATTGTAGAGTTCTGGTGTTTTTAAACTGAAGAATCTGAGTGCACTTGACAAAAAACACTGCAACTTGGAAAGTTAACCGACTTGTCCTCAAGCCAAACTGTTAATGGAAGCCAGAGACAAATAAAACCAAAATCTGTTCTGAAGGCCTCCTGCTGTTATTCCTCCCCTTGGTATGCCTATGTTGAGGACATTTATGAATTCTCTTCATGCATTTTGGGTTGTCTCTAGAACCAAGTTCACTGATACTGCAGTTAAATCACTTAGGTTCTTTTTCCTAATTTTGAAAGTAATTCAACGGAAATGAAACTGGTTTTTTAAAGTAACTTCCTGCTATGAGGAAAGATGACCCAACAGTTGGCTTTTCAAAAGATGCTGTTGGAATTAGTGACCTTCTTTTAACATTATTTCCTGGTATTCCTTAGCAGTTTACAGTATGATCAACTGCAAACTGTGTTGAAACTAAAACTACCTCATAATAAAAACCATTTTCTCTGATGACTAGATAGTAGTACTTTCAATTTAAGAAGAAGCTACCTTTTGAGAAAAAAAAAACATGTTGGATTTTTTCAAAATGCTTGCCTTTTTGGGGGGGAGGGTGAGTTTTCCCAAACATGCTTTTATTTATATTTTTTATTTTTCAATTCCACATGAATTTTGATAAACATTTTTGTTTTAATATTTTACTTGAATTTCAGTGTAGCTTTAAAAGAGTAGTCTTCACATTCAGTATACGGAATTATATTAGACTCTTAGTATATTTTATTGATACATTTCTTGGGGTTCTAAAATTATCTTGTATGGAAACAGGAAGTACATCTGCTTGTTTTCTTAGCACTAGAATTGTACAGTATACATTCACATACATATATACATATATTCTGCATTTTTATTAATACAATTGTCAAGACATTTTTTAAAATCTGTGCTTAGTGATTTGCAGTATAGTTTTTGTTTCATTTTACCTATTAGAAAAATAGAATTAACTTTATTACATCTGATAGTGATCAGATACTATTTATATAGTACTAAATACTGTACATGTTTAAGCTTAGTGCCAACATGCTTAAAAGATACATTTGATTGTAAAAGCAAAAGCTTGTGGTTTTAAATGTATAGTTCAGTGACATTAACCTTATTTACCATGTTGCGCCATCATCACCACTGCCCATTCCTAAAAGTTTTACGTCACCCCAGATCACGATCACAAAACTCCCATTCCTTCTTTTCACCAGCCTTAGTAACCACTCACAGAATTCTGTATCTATGCATTTGCCTGTTCTAGATATTGCCTATGTGTGGGAGCATATAATAGTTAACCTTTCAATAGATTGTTTATCCCTATTCCTAATATTTATTCATTTCTATTTATAGATAAATAATATTCCATTATGTTTATTTTCATCAACTTATTTTTATTCAGCAAAGTTCTCTTCCTGAAAAAATAATTCTATTAAAAAAAAAGAAAAATAATTCTATTATAATGAATTTATCATGGTGGTGTTCTTGCTCAGTCTTGAACATTGGAGTGTGAAGAATACATGTGCTATTCTAATAACAGCCAAAGTGAGGTGGATCCTTATTATATGTGGAGTTTGTATTTGTGAATTCCGCTAAGTAATTTGGATCCTGAAGTCAATACTTGTGATACTTCAGTCATTGTGAATACAAAAATGACTCAGGGCCACATCTGACCTCCTCTGCCTTCTCTGTTGCCATGCAGCAGAGATCAGACTTGCCTCCAACCCTCCATCCTTTTTTAGCCTATTCTAATGACAACCGTTCCTCCCATAGCACTTTACATCTATGCTATGTTCAATAATTCATTGCAATGGACACACAAAATTCACAAACTCAAAATTATGAGGGTTTATTAAGGGAAGTTGACAGGCTACCACAAATTGGGATCATTAAACAGTTAAGGATACCGTCATGGGTCCACAACCTCACCTCTTCTCAGCCAGTAGACTTCAGTTTTCTCTTTGGATCTCAGCTTCTCAGGTGGTCCTTTGGCTTCTGCTACTTTGGGCCATGAAGCCTCTGTTGCTCTGCCTCACAGACTCATAGTCTTGTCCTTGCACCTCTGCTCAGTACCACAGTCCCCTGCTGCAACCTCTGGTGCCTTTGGTCTTGATTTCCACCCCTCAGACAGAGCTTGAATGTGCTCCATTAGCGGCTCTGCTTCTCATGGTACTGGCATTTTTCTGTGATGACTCTTACACATTTCTCTAGATGACTCTTATACATGGAAGAATGGCTTTGATGGAGGTGTGGTTTTTGTCTTTGAGAAGACCTACCTCCAAGGAAACAAAGGGTGGTGACTTGGTTCTCATCTTCTCCTATGGTGGAGAGTTAAAACTATCTTAATCTTGTTTATTAGCATAGCAGAGAACTAACTCCCTCCAAAATGGAATTATAGCCATAGGAAGAGGCTAGAAGGGGCTTATTAATTGACTGTGTCTCAGTGGATATATACAGAGTGGTGAAAAATTGGAGTTATTCTTTGTGCATAATTCTAGTTGAGGTTGCACAAGGTTTTACTCGTAGCTTTTTTCAGTGCGCAAATTCTAATGAAGTGTCCTTTTTGATGTCTATTTAGTGCCACTTTTTTTGGTGTTGCATTTTTGTACTTTTATTAGTGATTTTAAAAACAGTCCCGTCCCCCCCCCCCCACTGCAATGTAGTGTTCAAGTGCTGTCTATTACTCCTAAGTAAAATAAGGCTGTGATGATGTGCCTTATAGTGAAAATGTCTGTATTATATAAGATTTATTCAGGGATCAGCAATAGTGCTGCTAGTTGTGAGTTTAATGCTAATGAATCAACAATATGATACATTCAGAAAAAGGAAGAGTAAATTCACCAATCTGTATGTGAAGTCACTGTGGAAAACCCAGGTAACATCTATTGTGAGGGATGAAATATGCAAAAGATGGAAATGTAGTTGATTTTCAAGATGATGGAGGATAGAAAAAGTATAGTGGACAGTATTGTGAGGCTGAAAGCTATATAAATTTACATTACCCAGGGTCAGGAAAATATGAAACGTATCTCAGCTAGAGTTCTATCAGAAAAAAATTGCATGGGCAATCATTTAATATGGCTTTTCTAGCCAAAATCTCCCAACTATCCCCAAACACCCTTTTCCTGCATGGGTATGGTTAAAAAAAAAAAAGTGGAGGAAAATACTGAGAGGATTCACTTGTGAGTAACTGTGACTAGAATTCCTTGGAATGCCATTCTGCTGACTATAACTTTAGCCCTCTGAAAAGTAGGAGGAGAGATCTCATTGTGAGCAAGAACTGGGATTTCATGGCATCCTCGACCTGAGATCCCTGTGCAGTGATCCTCCTGGATCCAGAAAACAGCTATAACATCACGGGAGTAGCAACAGCAGCAGAACCAGAAGCCAGAATGTGAAACAGAGTGGTGGGTTTCCAAGCCCACAGGAAAGCAGAGCTGAGTGTTTGGGGGCAGGAGGCTGGCTTTTTGAGTGGGGTGCCTCTGGGCACTGAATTCGGGGAGTTGGGTTTGAGGATTCCAGTGAAGAAGTACTGTGCCCCTCTGGGCATTTAGTT